CAATGTATTCTTATTGTAAACAAACTGATATGTTGCTTGTCCTCGCGGGCTTTAGAAGAACTCTCGCGATACAAATTTAGCGATAACTAGTCAGGACCTAAGGTGAGCACTTTAACGCCTTGTACCAACTCAACGAAAAGATTTTGGATATAGGTAACTTGGCTAAAATCAACTTATTTTTATCCCAGGAGTCTACAGTGAAGCCACGTCCCAACCAGATTATTTTTTAAAATGCATAAGAAATTATTTTTTCGAAAATGAATCTCGAAGCTCATCAAAAATTAACACGATACAAAAAATATTACTGAAGGGAATATCTTTCTGGAAAAAAAATGGAAGTTTCCAGTCCGACCTCTGAAAAGTTATCACCAAATTTATACGGCACCATGGTTGTTTGAAACACTTACAGGTCACTGAAGATGATCAAAAACATCTCAAATGTGACTTACAGTCACAGAAGATGCCATGCCAAAAATTATGAAAATCGATCTCAGCCTACTCTTCTTATAAGCAAAATTATTTTTTTTTCAAAAAAATTTCAACGCCTTGTACCAACTCAACGAGACGATTTTGGATATAGGTAAGTTGGACTAAATCTTATCCCAGGAGTCCACTGCCGAGCCATGTCCCAACCTTTTACAGATACCCTGTATATCAGTTTGGACATAATTCAAAGATTATTTTCAAAATATTCTTCAACTGAGTATGGACACATGTCAATGACATAATTTTTAGTTTTCTCTTCAAATTTATGCACCAAGACAATATTTTTTAAACATCGTGGGAGACTGTTGTATAGTTTAATTCCCATTACTATAGGTGATTTTTCACAGATTTCTATTCGCTGGTAAGGTATGGATTTATATCTTGTGTCATGAGCATGAATATCACTATTTTTTAAATAATCCTTTTCATTTCTATCACACGAGACCGTATTTGTGTCGACCGAAAAAAAATTCTATTATTAATTTGGTAGGACAACTTAATGAATACGTAAATCACACTATTGTTGACGGTTTTTCCAATTTCTCCACTCGAACACTCGCCAATCGCGACTGATTGGCAAACTTTTTTCGTCAGGAAGAGAGAATTGTCCGATGAAAAAAAACCTCTTGTATTTTTACTGTTGATAAAAATCGGTATTGCAAATAATGGCCATTTCAATTTAGATATTCCAGTAGGTAGGTACCTAACCTACCAATTCAATGTCATGATTCAAATTATTTTTCCTATAATGAATCTATAGCACACAAAAAATCCAATTCAATTTCTCATATACTTCAGGAGCAATGAAGTTTCGAATAAGTAAAGCGTTAAATTGTCTCTAACCACTTGATTATTCTTGCTTTGGGTGATAGATTATGCAGGCAACCATAATATTCCAGTTGTATTTCAGAACAGTCACTCGTTTCAGAAAGCATCAATTGTATTTCAGAATAGTCATTCAAATTTCAGAAAGCGTCTATTGATAATTGGAATAGTCACATGTATTTCAATTGTTGATGCCCTAAGAAGATGTCCAAAGCTTATCCCAAATATGGCAAACACCGTTCTATACTCTCACATCCTAAGTAAAATGAACTATCTCATAAATATTTGGGGTTCATGTCTCAAGAATAATTTTACCAAAATATTTGTACTATATAAGAAAGCATCAAAAGTACTGTATCGTCTTCCATATGACACTCCATCAAATCAACTTTATGAAGAAACAAATACATTTTCTTTAAGAAACACCTCAAATCTAACTTCATATCATTGGTGAAGAATTCTCAAATCCATGAACATCATACTAGACAATATGACTTGTTTCATGCTGCTAATTCTACACTTGGCCAAAAAAAGTGTACTCACGGAGCTATCTCAAAATTCCATAAATTACCTGATGGTATCAAAAGTTTCTGTATTGGTAGAGCAAGTCCGATAGAATTTAGTAAACAAAAAATATCGCTGTACTACAGAAGAAACCGTCAAAATGGCCGATTCTGATTGACTCTAGAGAGCAAGAGTGAAATAGTCATCAATAAATATTTCCTGTTGATATTTCTCAATTTCTGTTAAAAATGTCAAGTGATGACGATGAGATCATTTCTACACCACCAGAAATTCGGGAAAGAGCAAAAATGGTAACAAATGAGTTGCTACCCGTGAAGCCTCGTGAAAAACACGAAATCGCTTAAAAAAATTTATTCAGGAATAATAAAGTTAGGTACTAATATATTAAGAACTATTTATATTGTACTATTTCCCATATTTATATTTCTCAACAAATAATTTTTTTATTCTACTTCTTGATTTGCGACAACTCTACGGCACCCTCCGCTTTTGTTGGCGATTTATTTGTTGCGTCCTATCTTTAAACGCTAGACAAAACAGGCCGCGAGTCAGCTCGGAGCTTCTCGCTTGCAACAAGTTTGCTTAATGCGCCGCGTTGACGGTTTAGAACAAAGCGGATCTGTCTTGATTACGACAGAATTATCTCAAGAAGTCGTTATTGTGGATATCAAATATGCAATTATTGTTTAAAAGCTAATGCTATTCCTCAGATAATGGACTATGGCATGACGTCGATTTGAAAGTTTCTACTTGTCATGTCAAAAGAAGCTGTAGTAAAATGAAAGATGCAATAAGGAACCAATTCTTCTACTGAAAATACTTCAATAAAGGTTCATTTTTTGCATGAACATAGAAAAACTAATTTACAGTCTGTTTCAAATAGAAAATGTTGAAAGTTTAAATGATGACAGTGACGGGCTCGCAGTGACGTCATGCGCAGAATAAACGAATATTGGACTGGTGATGAGCACACCATACTATATTTGAAAAAAATTTGAACTTGGGATGATGAATTTGACAGATGAAAATTTGAAGATGGCGACTGGACGCCATCTGAAGAAATAATCAAAAGGCAATGGGGGGTTTGGTGACACATCCTTTTGAAGCTCCTGGCGAATACTTCCCAACCCTGGAATATGAAGTCAATATCTTCACCTGCCAGAAAATTGCGGAATATTTAATAGCTACCTGAATACTAAGTATGGATATCGTATTCCAACAAGATGGAGCACCACCACCTTACTCCAGACAAGTTACCCCAGTCGTTGGATCGGCTGTTGAGGTCTTACGGAATGGCCAGCCCGCTCGCCAGATTTGACACCTTCAAACGTGTTTTGAGGAGCTATTTGAAGCAAAATGTGTACGAAACTGCACCTGCTTCAATATTGTATATGTCGGCAAACAGCGTAACAGTGTAACTTCAATTTTCATCTGTTACTCTGTTTGCCGGAGGGTTAAGGAAGGAAAATATCCTTTCTGCATATGCATAAGAAGAGGGACTATTTTTCCGCCTAAATGAAACTTCTTCCTAGAAAGTATATTTTTCAGAAAATTACTTGAGAGAACAGAAGAGACTACTGCTTCTAAGCAACCTAAGCTGACTCGTCCTAAATGACCTTCCTTCCGTCATTACAGGAAATGACTGAAACTATCAAGCAAACGGTGTACGAAATTTAGAGTTACGCTGTTTGCCGGCAATACGTGAAACGACTAGGCATTCCAGAGAATGACGGATTTCACTGTTAAACGCTGGGAATATATGAAAAGTGGGCATGGTGAGAATCTTGTGTTTTCTGAATGTTTCTCTTGACCTGGCAACGTTGCGCTCTTCGGCAATTTTCGTAATCGTCGACATGAAGGTGGGCATCATAGGAATTGGGCATCGTGGGAATTGGACATCGTGGGAATTGGGCATCGTGGGATGCTCCCTAAACGCCGACATACAGGGTTGGGCAAGTATGGAACCAGGTGAAAATCTCGGTAACCGTGTATTAGATTTTTTAAATATATGTACATGGTGAATTCAAAACGTGGTGGATTTGAAAATGTTCTCGTCGATGTTGCCACTTTTTCAGTTATTCCGGAATTATTATCAACTCCCTTATTTTAAATAGAACACCATGTATTTTATTGAATTTTCATATCCTCCCTGAAAAACTGATTTCATCGATTCATCACACTTGGGGTCTAGCAAGGATGATTACTGAGATATAGGGTGTTCAAAATCGAGTTATTTTTTCAACTTCAGGATTTTTTTGTGTCGAAACTATTCATTATTTGTCAAAACGGCTTACATGTCCCTACGTCAACTTTTGATTCACTATCTATCGACATTTAATTGAAACAAATACAGGGTGTTTCAAGATTTAAAAATCTGATCACCCTGTATCTATTCCGATTAAATACCAATAGATAGTAAATCAAAAGTTAAGATAGGGACATGAAAGCTGTTTTGATCGATAATGAATAGTTTCGACACAAAAAGATCCCAAAATTGAAAAATCTCGATTTTGAACACCCTATATATCTCTGTGATCATTTTCGCTAAACCCCAAGTAAGAAACATTGTTGAAATCAGCTCTTCAGGGAGAATCTGAAAATACAATGGAAAATAGGGTGTTCCATATAAAAAAATCAAATAGTACCTTGTAGATCGTTTGTTCCGAGGACCTTGTATTTTCTGATGTAGCGGACAAAAACTCTATCGAAAATCATTTTAGATGATATTCAGAAATTTTGCAATCGGTTCAAAAATAACTGAGCTAGAGGGGGGACATTTATGGTGAATCACCCTGTACCTATAAGGTACTTACTTTTCAATAAAAAATAATGTTATTTTTGTTGTAATTTTCTCTTCCTACTTCTACATTATACATAAAAAGTTGGTGAAGGTAAATATCCCGTACTAGACTGGAACAAGATTATGCATGACGAAATTGCGATACATTTGCGAGACTCGTACGAGACGCGAGACAAGACGAGACTCGAGGTTGCGAGACGAGACTCGAGACAAGACTTAATATTTCATCGGGAGACGGGACGAGACTTTATGAAAGTCTCGTCTCGTTGGTCTCGTGTGAATCACTAAAAGAAAAGCACTGTATAGTAGTGTATAGTAACCCTGATTTTCACCATACATTTGGGTATGCGGAACGATCGCTCACCTGCATCAGCCGGCGGTGTGGGAGTCTCCTCCCTTGCTATCCTCCTCACCTCCAAGTCCTCCTCCTCCTTTCCAACCCCATCATTTCCCTCGTACTTCCTCAAATGCCGCTCCATCTCCAAAGCGGCTTTCTCCTGGTGCTCTACGAACGGGTTGTACACCCCTTCGTCGATGACGTCACCCACAAAGCGACCGGCAAGGGGTTTGTCCGTGACGTCACCGCCAAAGCGGCCGGCCAGGGGTTCGTCGATGACGTCACCGTCAAAGCGATCGGCTTGGAGTTCGTCGATGACGTCACCGTCAAAGCGACCGGCACGGGATGGAGACGGGGGTTTGTCGTTGACGTCACCGAAGCGACCTGCCGGTATGGGGGAGAGGGGAGCGTCGACGTCCGTTTCCGGGCCGAAATCCGAATCGTCGAAGTCGGCCGAAGCGGGTCGGTTGCCGTTCGGCTTGCCGGTTAGGTGGCGATGGTCGTTGGTGGGGGACAAGTCCGAACCTGTAACCAGTGTTGCCAACTTTTAGCGGATTTCAGACTGGAACTGGTGGTTTGTTTTCGTTTCATGATAAAATATGGCATCTACATCTTTTCCATTAGTATTTCAGAAAGCGTCAATTTTATTTCAGAATAAACACTTGTATCTCAGAAAGCATCAATTTTATTCCAGAAAAGTCAATTGAATTTCAGAATAATCATTTGTTTTTTAGAAAGCATCAATTGTTTTTCTTTATTTATTGATTTATTCATTTAATTATTTGTTTATTTATTTATTTATTTATTTATTTATTTATTTATTTATTTATTTATTTATTTATTTATTTATTTATTTATTTATTTATTTATTTATTTATTTATTTATTTATTTATTTATTTATTTATTTATTTATTTATTTATTTATTTATTTATTTATTTATTTATTTATTTATTTATTTATTTATTTATTTATTTATTTATTTATTTATTTATTTATTTATTTATTTATTTATTTATTTATTTATTTATTTATTTAGTCATTTATTTATTTATTTATTTATTTATTTATTTATTAATTAGTAATAAATATCTATGAACTACTCCACAAACATGAGTAGAAGTGAACATTAATACAGTGTTTCTATAAATGATCGTAACATCGTAGTAGCCGTTGAAATATTTTCTCCATTTGCCGCCTTTCATATATGGAGATTCACACATTCGAATTTAATTTCTGACATCAATCATTATACTGTCATAGCTGATAAACTCACAATTGTCAGTTTTTCGTTAAAATTTTCAAACGATTCTGTTTTCTACTTCGTGATTGTCGTTTTGTAATGAGGGATGGCTTATTTCTCGGAGCAGAATACATTTATTGTAATGTCTTATTGTCGAAATGGCACATTCATCAATGGTGGATGGAGTTACTCGGTAGTAGCCTGCAAGGATGAGTACCTACCTGGCGAAATATCCTAATGTACAGATTCAAGAATCTCCTTTGAAAGCCCACATCAGAACAGTGATCAACAGATTCATCCAAAAAAAGTACATGCCATAAAGTGCTCAAGAAAAAATTGCATATGCACCCTTACAAGACCAGTGTACTACAGCAACTTCTGCCAATAGATATCCCACGTCGTCTGGAGTACTGCTAATGGTTCCAAAATAATCTCAACGATGACCAGCTATTGGACCTAACATTTTTCAGCGATGAGGCTTGGTTTCATTTGTCGGGATACGTGAACTCACAAAATTTTAGGTTTTGGAGATCTGAGAATCCCCACAATTGAGAGTTGAGTTGAGACTCCACTACATTCTCAAAAAATTGGGGTGTGGTTAGCAGTTTGTCGTAGGCGAATATATGGACCGATTTTCTTCGATGGCACTATCAATAGTGAAAGGTACAGACAAGTGATGTTAGAACCATTCATCAATCAACTTGACGATGAAGAAATGCGACTTGGCTATTTTCAGCAAGAAGGGGGGGGCGCTGCCCACACCACACGTGCAAATTTAGAATATTTACAAGAATTTTATGACAACCGTGTGATAAGTCGAGGGGTTAATACTTCTTTTCCAACACGTTCTCCAGATTTGACGCCATTGGATTTCTGCCTTTTTGGATATTTGAAAGACGATGTAATCAAGAGGGACAATAATAACCTTGAAGAGCTGCAAGCCTCAATAACACTTTGCTGCCAAAATATTGGCCCGGAAATGCTGAGGAACAACGGAGAACATTTTGAACATTTGATGTAGGTTAATGTCAATATAATGTTGATTCATATTGAAATTGATTGTTGCTCACCAATATGAAATGATTTGTCAAATTCAATTTGTATAGTTTTAGGTATTATTATTAATTCTGACTGGAAGTCACATTTTCAATAAATAAATAAATAAATGACAGGGAGAATATTATCAATATAGTGGCAATTCACTCACCATTCTGCTTGAAATTATCCGTCAGATTCAGCAACAGCCCCCTGTCGTTCTTCTGCGACAAAATATCACCGTCCCTCTCGCTATTCTTCAGCATCCCGAAGGGCTCGTCGTTCGCCTCGTTCTCGATGCCGAAAACGTTGCCATCCTCGGCGGCGGCCCGGTTCCTGGCCGCCTCCAAGGGCCCGTCGCTCTCGAGGCCCGCCTCCATCGCGCGGCCGCCGTCGGTCCAGCTAGCCGCCTCCGCCGCTATCTTCGCGGGCTGCCGCAGGAACACGACGATCACCGAGATGTTGTCGGTGGAGCCTTGTTTCTTTGAGAGGTGGGCCAGGTGGTGGCTGATCCTGTCGGTGTCGTCTGGAACGAGGAAAACATAGGGATATATTGGGGTCGATTCTGTTCGGATCTTGTAATATTGCTAAGAAATAGTTATTTGTTTAACTAGGCAGCAAAGTAGTAGATTGACTGCCAATCTACTTTGCTGTCGAGTTGAACATATAATTTTTTCTTCGATTGTTCATAATGATATGGCAGAATATTGTATTTGCGAATTAATACAATTCCCACAATCTCTTTATTCTTCCTGTATAGTGTTCAATTAAAATAAAATTTGATAGAAATCGCAGTTGTTGGTTTGACAATTCATGAAATTTCTGACAGTTGTGCGAAAATATATCGATATATTAAAATTATTATACAATGGACAGTGAAAGCGACCTGGAAGTATACTTACACCTCCATTAATAAGGGAGGTGGCAAAAAATATAGAGTTGAATTTGTTGCCGGAGAAGTCTCGGATGAAATATGAAGGAAATTATAAACGATTTATGGATTTTTAATTTTGCTGATACATATCAATCAGCAAAGTACCCACTTTGCTGCCTAGGCAGGAAAAGTAATACTTTGCTGATTGATATGTGTCAGCAAAATTAATATTTGCTGCCAATCGGAGGAAAACGATATTGTTATGATTTATGAATATAACATACCGAAACTATGGGCAAAACATCAAGGGGGTGATTCTACATGATTGAATAAGAAATTCATTTTATATGTACAGGGTGGGCAAAATTGGGCGTTTCCATAGGCTATCTCAGTAACTGTTACGAGTTCGATTTTAGAGAAACCTCGAATGGTACAATTGGAATCTTCATTCGTTTCAGAGATACAGGTGGAAATTGAAAAATTGCCGATTTCGTTTTTATTTTCTGAGTACTTTATGAAGAGAGATATTGAAAAATTTCAAATTTTAATCCTTTTAGATTGATGCGTATAATCCATTGACATCATCAGAAATTTTATACAGGGTGACATCAAGAAGATACGGCAGTCAATTATTTTTTTTCCAATGAAACACCCCGTATATTTTATCACAGTTGGATAGTCCTAGGCATTCTATATTCAAATATATATATTAACCTACCTTTTTCTTCGACAATTTTAGAAATATTTGCAAAAATATTTGTTTTATCGCTTGGAGCGCACGAAAGGGAATCCCTATAATGTTCAATGAACATCGTGCGTTCCTAGGGAGGATAGAGATAGGAGGTGGGTATTGGAATTTTGTTGAAATTCTGGAGATTATATGTTGTTGGAAATACTTCCTCAGGCAATGAATTCCAGAGCCTAGCCGTTCTATGGATGAAGGAGTTTTGATAAAGTGTTGTTCGACATCTATCGAGGTTAACAACGAAAGGATGTGCTGACTGGGCTTGTCTAGTGAAAGGTTGCCGACCTTTCTACGGTATTCCAATGATGTCAAAGAGTGAGTGAGTGTGGCGTCACCCACCATGGCTCTTCTCTGGATGGAATCTAAGAGCATCAGCGTATGTTTTGGTGCTGAACCCCATATGTGGGAACAGTATTCTAGAAGCTGTTGAGGTGTGAAGTAGCTTTTCGCACGGAACAAGAATCCGAGTTTTTGTGAAGCAGCTTTTGCGATGGATCTGACATGATTATCCCATGAAAGAGTGTTGCTGATGGAAATACCGAACATAGATATGGTGGGCTTGGTGGGGATGGTGGTGCCAGACATTACAATGTCGAGCATACTGAGTTCCGCCTTTCTAGAGAAAATACAGGCTTGAGTTTTGGTGGCGTTGAATTCAACTAGGTTGTTGGTTCCCCAGGCTGTGATTTCAGCAAGGTCTCCATTGACAGCATTGACCTGCCTGCGCCGTGAGTTCTTAGTTTCCTGGGAAGAAATGGGAATTCTGGAAGAGAACGCAGTATGGAGGGTACTATCATCTGCAAAGCTGTGGATGGAGCAAGTTGTTACTCCCAACAGATCATTGATATGCCGGAATTGATGCCAATTGCCAGACGATCTGCCTGAAAGAAAACCCGATAAGAGATGGCATAGCTGAGGTGGTAAGCCGTATGATGGTAGTTTATGGAGGAGTCCTTCGTGCCAAACGCCAAACACGGTCAAATGCTGTCGATATGTCCAACGCGACAGCTAGAGATTCCCCGTGTTTTTCTAATGAAGCTTGCCATAAATGGGTGACGTAGGCAAGTAGATCTCCAGTAGATCTTCGGTGGCGAAAGCCGTATTGTCTATCACTCATACTCAGTGTGTCAAATTTCTCATGGCTGCACCTCTGTATCTTTCGTAATAATCATTGTGGTAGGATTACGACATTCGCAGCTGTGAGAGAGATGCCAATGATACACTCGAGGATCGAGTGGGATCATCTCCAGTGGATAACACTGCTCGCCAGCAGCTATGAAATCACCGACATCTCTGGAAAATGCTATAAAGAGGCAGCATATAGGTTGAAAATGATACTTTGTATATATCAACCAAAGTAGGAGAATAAATATCATTGTAAATGTGATTCAAATATTTTATGTCACTAGTGCTGGATTGTTCATGAAGGGGCAAGTATACGCCACAGAAGTACAAACAAGAGATGAATTACTTGAAATAATTGATGTTACCACGAATGAGATCAGAAATGAACATTTTCAAATTTCAAAAACTAGAGTACCTACCTTCTCTCCCTATATTCTTCCTAGATGCTCACAATGTTTCATGAACCTAATAAGGATTCGCCTTTCGTGCGATTAAGAAGATCAAAAATGAATACGAATAAACAATTTTCATTGAAATTTTAGAGAATAAAAATAAATAGCATTTCAAGAGAAATTTTCATATTAATACTCACATCAAGATATCTTTCAAAATATCGATTTTGATATAGCGTTATTATATACGAATATGCACTAATTTTCTGGATGATGAGTCACAGGGTTCTTCAGAATTCCATTATCTACATCAGCAAGATAATGTGATGGAGATAATATGAACGATTTATGTTTCACAGATGATTTAATGATAGTATCTGACAAATAAATTTTGACTCACAGAAAATATGATCACAATCAAAACGATGAATTCACGATCGAATGACGTGGACGTCAAATATGTACAAAATATGTTTAGATCATAGACCTATTTAGATGTTCGCCATGCGTCATATCACCATATAGTGGGTGAAATGAATTAAAATAAACATAATCACGAAAAAAAAAAAAAGGGAGAGAAAATTAAAATTGAATACATGTTATTTTTCGAACCAGTTGAAAAGATTCATATACATATTACGCTAAACTGTTTTCGATTTTATGGTGTGTTATTGATATTATTTCACCAATAATGGTGATTATTATCAATAAGTATAAATGTGGTAATAATGATAAAAGTCATTAAAGGAAATTGCTAGTAGTAAATGCTTGGCTATTTATTAAAGTTCAGGAAAGCTTGCCTGTGAGATAATTTCGTGTGAACAAAGATGCAACCACTTCTCGAAGTTAAAATGTATTCTGATGCAGCAATAAATTGTATACATTCAAAATTTCACAACTAGTTCATACATTTTCTTGTAGTTCGGATAATTCGAGGGATAATTTCGATTTTTCGAAAAAAATATTATTATTACACTTGTTTTGACCTGTTGAAATTGAATATTTAAAAATATATAGGGTGTTCCATTTGAAAAAACTAAGTTGCAGGCATTTCCAGAAAAACCAGGAGTCCGCCATTGTGGATTGAAATGTCATCAAATACGAAATAGTTGCTTATATAATTGTCACAAATTTTTTCCACCCGAGAACTTCCTTATCCCTTTTGCCTCTAATCAATTTGAGATTGCAAGGTACAAATGTGACATGAGGAAAGACATCAAAATTGAAAAATGAATTATTGTACATACAGAACATTTAATAATAACATCAAATAGAATATAACCTGCATTCATAATCAGAGATTTCCATCGATGAGACAGAGGATGAGACCATAAAAAAAAATGTTTGAGCTAGAGTTCCTAAATATACTTGACACTGCTGTTTTCACGTTTTTTGTATATTATATACAATGGGGAAGACCACTGAGAGAAGAAATCCGTGCAAACCTCTTTCAATCGACGAATCATAATTTACGTTTGATGTACAATCAATATTATGAGTTAAAGTTGAAGGTAATCGAATCTATATCGTTTTGAAATCAGCATATTTCATTCGATATCTCAAACAGCCAAATATGATGGTGGAGTCGTGACGTATTAGTCCCGAACTGTAGCTATCTCTCTCTGATACCTCGTCATTCTGCAGTATTGCAGTGTGATTGGTCAGTTCAAGGACAATAGGCGTGTTGGGAATAAGACGTCGCACCAGTCACACCAATGAACTCATAAGATCTCAAATGGCGCAGGAATTGTGTGTTTTGAAATGGACATATTCTAATTAATTTTTTCCATCGTCTTAGCATGAATGACAAAATTCAAAATCAATTCGCTGGTATTTTAGCAGTATAGAGTTCACGATAATGTTATTTTAAAAAATCAGTGGTCTCCCCCATTGTATATTATATACAAAAAACGTGAAAACAGCAGTGTCAAGTACATTTAGAAACTCTAGCTCTAGCTATTTGGTCCTTAAGAACCAGGTGTTATCAATAGAGTGACATGCAATGAGTAAATGTGCTTGATAATAATTGTGAAATATCATTTAATAATTTACATCATAAGTTTAATGGGGATATCCTCTTCTTTGACAGTTGTAGGAAAAATATTGTATGTAACACGTACGTAAAGTGTTTTTTTGCTCAAAACAACATTTCCTATACTCGTAAAAAAAACTACCACTTTACACACACATAAAATAAGAATGTAGTGCACATTCGATTCCATTATTGGTCTCAAAATATTCAATACCTGAGTATATCATCGAATAAATATACTGATTTTTGGACCTCAGAAGAGTATGAAACAAGAAGAAATTTTAACTCATCCAGATTTTCACCTCATCGATTGCTATAAATATTTTTCTACTGAAAAATCCAAAATTGATCCAAGTGTATGGTATTTCCAAAACCAATTGCAGAATATCCCGCACCGTGTGGCATCAGCGGCTTTGAAGTTCCATTTGAAGTGAGTGCAGGTGCGGCACGAAACTCTGCAGTTGTTTTTGGACAAACTTTACCATGATACGAGGATTGTTCCGGTTGTGATAGCACAGACTAAATATCAATCTATAATCTCCGACTGAACGTAAAATCTCTATCAAGAATTCCACAGAAAAAAGTGGGAAGGATGCACCAGACACATTTACTCGCTCTGATAATCTTTCATTCATGAAAGCACTCATATACATATAGCTGTTCTTCCGTCCTTTCTCTTTATCGTATCATACAATCTCGTTTCTTAGCTTTTAACATTTTATATACAGGGTGTTCTGAAATGTACATTAGGATTGAGTTCTTCGAAACTCGTTTGAATTTTTATTTTAATCGAAAAGGAACCTGAACTTACACAGGTTTATGTAGAAGTTCACCACAGTAAATATAAAATGTTCGTCTTCAACTTCCTCCGAGATATTTCACTCGAGACAATCTATAGAAAGTTGATTGACTAGAAATTATGAAGAACGTGCTCTTGTTGTGGTAGAATAGATCTCACCATCCTTATGCCACTATAGCTGTTTTTTTCTAGAGAAATTACCGTTAGATATCATAGAGACAGCCAAATATAGGCGTGATTGAGTGAAACATTTCATTTTATTATATTTTAGTTATTAGTGAACTACTAGTTCACTGTCGCAAACCGTTTCCTCCTCAGAGAACGTCAGCTTCACTCACCTATCACGTAAGATCTAAAATCAGCTTCCAAAGATATACAAAATGTATCTGAATAAATTTAACCCAATAAACCTGACAAAGAGCAAATTTAAAAAATGTTTATAATTGAACTTGGTAGAAACGTAACAAGAAGGTTGGTAGAGATTTCACAACATTAAATACGTTCTTTTTCCAATATCATCCATAGATTCTTGACCAAAGTATTTTTTTCATATTTCATCTTATATTGTTACCTCACTTTAACTTTCACATGGAACATATATCTCGATGGAATGAGACAAATTGAAGAAAATGCATTTTTTCCAGAAACTATATCCGCAAGTTATCCGCACCAGACTCTGAGTATCCTCGGTAAAAGAGACCACCCCGTATAGTACCAGCATATAGTTTTTGCGTCCGATATTCCATTCACTATGGATTGTGATAATCTGGTCGGAAATAAGTATTTATGATGGAACTCGACATTGCAGAGAATGAAATTCCAACGGTGCCATTAATATATTCGATAGATTATATCAATAATATACACGCTTGGCAAGAATAATTTTCTTATAGAGAAAGCGTGTGAATGAGTACGCATATAAATTCATGAGTATTCAACAAAGAGAGGAAAACATAGTCATTGCCCCACCTACATTATAGGGATTCCCTTTCGTGCGCTCCAAGGGATAAAAAAAAATGGCACGTGTGGCAAACGATAATTTCTTCGGTCGGGCCGAAAAATGGACTCGTTCTCGATACACAGCGAATGGCAACGTCGCTCGTGTATATGTTTTGATAAATGGAATAATTTGGTTTCATGAACATTATGAGAATCTGATTTCTCATCATATTATGTTAATTACATTTTACATAAAATAGCTCATAGTTGGAAATAATATTCAAGAATCCGCCAATTATAAAAATGAAATGCAATTATCAATTAGCACCCTGCATCTGAGCACTTAAAGACACTTTTTGTCTTCCCTTACCTTATAGGATATCGTGAGGAGTCATAAAATCACGAGGACTGTCAACTATTGGCGATGTTTTTTTTTTGAATAATATAAAAACACCGATTTTATTTTCCACAAACGTCAAAAAAGACAAGGTTCGCGCATTGATAACAAATTGCGAAGTGACACTGTTTTTCAGGTTCCTACGTTACCACGACACCATGTGCGAAGCAGTGCGCAAAGTAAATCCTCAATCGAGCAAACAAGAAATCATATATTTCTGAATGTTTAAAAATTTATTTTTATCTCTTGGACCGAAAGGATGTTCCTATAATGTTCGTGGAACATCGTGGTACCGAGGAAGGATAGGGAGAGGCCTTTTAAGCCAGTTCAACACTATTTTTTTTATATAAAGCTAAGCAAATTACTTCTTCAGAACTACAGGGTGTTTCATAATTGAATGCTGATCCTAAAGGGCGATAATCCTTGGATGATTTTAAGAAAAATTCTTCATGTGAACATAGGTCCGAAACAGCTTCGTTTCTGAGATACAGGATGTTGAAATTTAACAAAAAAATAAGTTATTCCCCAATATCTCTGAAACCGCTCTGGCTTTTTTCTTCAATTTCGGTAGATGCCAAGTATGAATAGAAATACATTTATCCATAATAAAGGATTTCTTAATTTCCATCAGTGGCGTCCCTGTTAACATACACTGTCATATTTTTCATCAAAATAATGATACGCCACTGTCTTTTTTCCAAATAAATATTATTTTTGTAATTATCCTCTATCTTCTCATAAAAATTGTCACTTGTCTTTTTTTCGTCCGGTGCACGGTTTTTGAGTTAGAAAATAAAATGCATTCATTTGCTTGTCACTATTCGATTTTTACTCTTAGTCATAATTTCACAATTGTGGTAACCAAGAGATCTAAGCAACATTTTTATAATTTTATGGTAACTATTTTTAAGTTTTTGTAATGAAGAAAAAAGCCAGAGTGGTTTCAGAGATATTGGGGAATAACTGTTTTTTTTTTGTAAAATTTCAACATTCTGTATCTCAGAAACGAAGCTGTTACGGACCTTGTTCACATGAAGAATTTTAATCAAAATCATCCACGGATTATCGCCCTTTAGGAACAGCATTCAATTATGAAACACCCTGTATATTTTTGACGTTTGTAGAAAAAATTTTGTTTGCAACTCTTGCATGGAATACTTTGGTCATCTCGATTTTTTTCAACTCGGCTGCGCCTAGTTAAAAAAATCAGTTCTCGATCACCAAAGTAGCAATTCTTACACTATATACAAAAATACCTATATCATTGCATTCATCGAGTAGGTATATTCGATGTTTTTCGGGGTAAAGTGAGAAAACTAATCAAAACTCCAGAGAGAGTACTAGCTCAGATTCTTCAACATCATTTAACCCTCTCTGTAGCAGGTAGCCCTTATACTCGAATATCATTCACCCGGTATGTATAGTAAATGTTGAAAGTTTTGGAACCATTTCTGGTAAGAGACAATTTGATCGAAAATACAATAACTTTATTCGTCGCATTTTCTATTAATTAGGTTCGCCGAACCGCGTCTTCAAGCTGAGAACAACTATTCTTCCATCGTCTTTCGTCTCAATCAGAATAAGTGAAGCATAATAGAACCAATACCTCAATCAACGATAATAGTCCAAGAGCCGGCTGCAAATTTCCACCGTCATCTGATAAAGAAATGATATACAGAGAAGTGCACAAATAACGGTCAGGACTGTAACTTTTGAATTATTCGGGATAGGGTTTTGAAAATTGGTGAGCAACTAGTATACCAAAAACACTCAGTTACAAACAAAGTGACGCACTTGATATTTGACCTATCTTCTTAAAAAAAAAAAATATAGTAGGCCGATTTTTTTCATTTGTTGGTAGGTAATGCATTTGTCTTTAAAAAAAATAAAGATGTAAAAATTTTTTCAAAGCCTCTCAAGAAGCGATCATCTCTTGGAGAAGTTTTTCGGGGGCAACCAGAACGACCCTCCGAGCGGTGCTTCCTGTTTGTTCGTACTTGCGGATTGCTCTACGAGTAGTTGCTTCATGAACTCCCACTGCACGAGCGGCGTAACGTTTACTACGCCCTTCGTTTACTAACGCAACTAATCTTGCTACTTGTTCAGGATTCATTTGAGGCATTTTTTGTAATTTTGGTCAATAAAACAAGACACTTAATTGATGACACAACGACAGATGGTCAAATATGGAGGCATACAACAAATTAGTTGCTATGGCAACGGCATTTGTTTTTTTAAAGACAATGTGATCCTACCAGAGTACAACCCAATCAAATTTGAGTACTCTGATCCTTCAATAAATCTAATTTGTGGGATTAGCGTAAAGTATCAGCAAAAAAGCTGTAATTCGGAAAATTTTAGAGATAAATCAATGAATAAAAGAACAAAATGCTCGCAAAAGAAGCCTCTTTCGTATAGGGTGTGAGCACTTTTTATGCCATTACTCTATTAACACACAGGGTGGGTCAAAAATTAATAATAAATCATGGTTCGAGTTATTTCACCACCATCAAGGAGGCTTTGAAAAAATTTTCACCTCTTCATTTTTTTTAAAGACAAATGCATTACCTACCAACAAATAAATGAAAATAGAAATCGGCCTACTATTTTTTTTTAAGAAGATAGGTCAAATATCAAGTGCGTCACTTTTTTTGGAACTGAGTGTAGTTCATTGATTGGCGACACAATTTTTGTTGTATTACTTCTGGCTTTACTGGAAACGACCCCAACTTTTGATTTTTAAATGGGACACCCTGTATTGTATTCCATAATCGGTTAGGGATTGTCATAACAAATTCATCGATACCGGATTTGATAGGGTTATTTCAAACGATTACGCATATATTCGCGTTCTAAGTTTCCATTATGCTCAATGGGTGTGACAGAGAAAAAAGTTTTGATATTGCAAAGTCACACCCATTGAGCATATGGAAACTTCGAACGCGAATATCTTTGTAATCGTTTGAAATAACGCTATCAAACCCGGTATCGTTGAATTCGTCATGATAATCCCTAACCGATTATGGAATACAATACAGGGTGTCCCATGAACAAATCAATAGTTGGGGTCGTTTCCGGTGAAACTGGAAGTGGTAGGAGAAAAATAGTTTCACCAATTAATGAGCAATTTGGTATACTTGCTACCAATTATCAAAACCCTATTTAGAATAATTCAACAGTTACAATCCTGGCCGTTTTTTGTGCACTTCTCTGTATGTCTCAAAGGCATATGTAAACACAATCGGGTTGATTCTGTTCGGATCTTGTTATAACATTGCTAAGATAATAATATTGTTATGATCATAACATATAACAATATTGCTGTGAAGTTCTGTATTCTGTTTGCAGAGTAACTGCAAGACTGGTTATAAGTTCAAGTGATAGCAATATTGTTGAAAAATTGAGAATTTTTGAGCTGATAACACTGTTTTCAACTCATTGTTTGAGTCAGTTTAAGTGTTAGGTATCGATTTTGCCTTTATTTCATGAAGAAGAAGAGTTCATGATTATCTAACCTCTCAAATTAGTCAGTCCTGCACTGACATTTTACAAAATTGTATTGTTCAAATCGAGAGATTTTGTATTTGCTGAATCTGGTCGTCGTTATGCGACTGGTGCAAGTGATCAATCATGTCCCCGAAATAAGAAAACAACTAAAAGCCGGATGAAAATAATCTGATTTTTTTTTAATATTCTAGCAAAATATCTTGATGAACTATCCATCAGGCAACTGAAATGGTTTTTCTGGTTTCTCTGTTATGCCGAAATTGTAGTCTCATAGTTCCTCTACAAATTTGAACAACGAGAAAAGGTTTTCAAGTTGTTG